TGCCATGTTAATTTTTTTTTTTTGAGTTGGAGTCTCACTGTGTCTCCCAGGCTGGAGTGCAGTGGTACACACATGGCCACAGCCTTGACCTGTTGGGCTCAGGCAATCCTTTGGCCTCAGCCTTTCAAGTAGCTGAAACTACAGGCACACACTACCACATCCGGTTAATTTTTTGATTTATTGCAGAGACTAAGTTGCCCAGGCTGGTCTCAAATCTCTGGGCTCAGGCAATCCTCTTGCCTCGGTCTGCCAATGTGCTGGGATTACAGGCTTGAGTCACCACACGTGGCCAGTTGCCTTGTTAATTTTTCAGAAATGTTTCTTTGATTACATCTCCTGCTTAAAGACTTTTTTGTCTAAAATCATCTGGTTCAAACTCCTCAAAGAACTACACCTTATCTCCTACTACCTCCTGGTCAAAATGAAATCTTTCCTCCCCTTCCTCTTAAGACTCATTACCATCCCTACCTGAGCTCATGTCACTCTCATACCCGGTTTTAATGGGGCCTTCAGCTGATAATCCTAACCTATAGGATTCTCTGAATTTTTGAAGCCAGTGGTGTATTGGCTCTTTGGAGGAGGCTGGTGGAGAGAAGTCCATATATGTAGTGCTTGCCAATAACCTTCACCATAGTAGATTTCAAGCTATCAATGTAATATCACTAATTGGGAAGAGATATGCACAAAGCCAGTAGGAACTGGCTCCAGGACACCACAGTAGCACTTTCAATCTGTTCTGTAAACTAGTCAACTTTATACATACTGTTTTGTATAAGTTTTCTAAGTATATTATATAGGTTTGTTTGTTCACTGCAATAAACTAGCCCTGGCAAGTACAGCAGTCCATTCATTTTAGAGCTTTCACAGTGTACTGGGGAACCCACTGTGCTCAATCAGACACCTGTTGGTGTACCTGGAGAGGGATGATAAGTAAAGCCAAAGATGGGGGTAGTTAAAATATGCATGTTCTCATTTAGAGCTGGTTAGCAAGAATAAACAAAAAGAACAACGAAGGAGCAGAATTTGGTAGAAATAAAATCAGGCCAGGCACGGTGGCTCATTCCTGTAATCCCAGTACTTTGGAAAGCAGAGGTGAGAGTATTGCCTGAGCCCGTGGGTTTGAGACCATCCTGGGCAACATGCTGAGACCTCATCTCTACAATAAATCAAAAATTAGCTGGGCGTGGGGGTACAAGCCTGTAATTCTAGCTGCTTTGAAGACTGAGGTGGAAGCATTGCCTGAGTCCAGCAGGCTGAAGCTGTGGTGGCCACGGGCAGCATGCCACCGCACTCCAGCCTGGGTGACAGAGTGAGACTCTGACTCAAAAAAAGGAAAAAGGAAAAAGAAAATTAGAATGGGGGCCAGAGGATACTGGCTATGCCCAGCTTTGTACCTGTGTGAGCCTTAGCAAGTTAATTCTTCTCTTGGCCTTGAAGTTTCCTTATCTGTAAAAATTAGAGGACTAGAACACCTGACTTCTAAGCTATCTCTTGACTCTAATGCTTTGGGATGTGGGTTAAACTGATAGGGAGACAGCCCCATAGTCCACTGCATTGGTAGTAATAATGATAATAATAAATTAATTTTAAAATCTGACCAGCCAACAGAGTTTAGGGCAGCAACAATTTTTTGAAGGTGTGAAGAAACATTCTCAAAAGTTCATTCCATTCCTTTGACCTAACAATCATTCTATAGAAAGTTACAATACCCTGAAAGTTATATTTATTTTCTTTTCTACTTTCAAGATAAAAGAGCTATGACAACTCATGTTATATATGCAGCATGCTCCAAGATATTTCTTAGTGTCCCTCATCCAAAAAAATATGTATGGCCTGTCTACTATGAGCTGACACCGATAAGTGGAAAAGACTGAATAAAAACAAAACAGATCCAGTATTTACCCTTGTGGAATCCACAGCAGCATGGGTCAGTAGCCATTTAGTTCCCAATCATTTATATCAGTGCCTTTCAACTTAAAGAGCATGAATTGCTCTGAGTAGCAGATACAAGTTAAGAAACTTCTCTCTCAAAAACAAATATGTAATCATAATACTTTGAGTATAATTTGAGGGGTTCAGAGGACTACTCAAACATGGAGGTGTACAAGTACCAGAAGTTAACAACTCTGGCCTGTATCTACATCTACAAAACAATAAACAAATTCAAGCTGATAAAAGCCTACATTATATTTGCTATATTCTGTTTGCTAAGGTAGTATAGCAAAGATTTCCAGCAGAAACAATTAAAAGTAAAGGTCTATCATTTAAAGGACTAGGTTTTAACTATCTGAAATTTCATTCATCAAGAGTTATCTTATTCCAAATAATATTCTGGATAAGTAAGGTATGCCTAGATTATATTTTCATTTGATTTATCATTCTTTGGTTAAGGCTGCTTATAAAACCAGTCTTCTTCTTTGAAAAGCTACTATATGAATGTGCACTTATATTTCACAAATAAATCTGCATTTTGTAACTCTTTTATTTCACATTAATGAGGCTCTATAAGCCATGACAAATTTACATACACACATATCCTGAGTGAGCAGCCTGACTAACAGCAAAGAGTACAAAATCAAGAGTTAGAAGGTACTGACTCCTCTCTTGGCTCCAACATTTTCCAGCAAAGTGACGATGGACAAGTCATTTAACCCTCTGACCTCTGTTTCCTCATTTATAAAGGGAATAAAACTTACCTGAGAAATGAGAAACTTGCAATGAGAAATCAAACAAAATAATGTACAAAGGGAGACCCCCCCAACAAAAAACAGCATTTATTTATAAAAAACTGTGTATTTATTCTTACATGCTTAAACTTAAATCACCTTGAAAGTACTGTTTGATGCAATACACCTATTGAGATGCTTTTTCCACAGTTTTGAACTCATCAATTTAGTACTCATGCCTTTTACTACTTCTGCCATTTTTTTGTTTCCTCTTCCACACTGGCGAAACATTTCCCTTTGAGGACTTTTTTCATTGGGGAAACAAAAAAAAGTTGTTCTAGTTGAGATCCGATGCATAGAAGGGTGGGGCACAGGGGCCATGCCGTTTTGGGTCAAAAACTGTTGAACACTCAGCGCAGTGTGGGCAGGTATGTTGTCATGCTGAAAGAACCAGTCACCTGTTTGCCACAATTTGGGGTGTTTCCTCTGCAAATCGTGATGCAACCTTCTCAAAACTTCCAGATAAAAACTTCGGTTGACTGTTTGCTCTGGAGGAACAAATCCTGAGTGTACTACAAGGGGCCTGCCCTCCAAAAGATAATTCCAGTTTTTTGGGGGTTCCCCTCATATATTAAAAGTTTTTAGCTATGGATGGGCAAAAAAGTGGGCAAAAGAGCAGACTATTGTAGAACTGCTCATAAAACATCAGACATTCACAGAAGATCATTTGGAAAGAGTTACTGGCTATAACATCCTTAATGTGCCATTACAATGTTTCAATCTGAAGTAAAATAAGTTATTCTTAAATTACTCAAGGAATTCTGTTTTGGTTACTTGCCCAATAGCAAAGTTCTTAAACATAACAAGTCTGCAGAGAAGTTTTGGAATTTTCACCATGCATAAATAGATTCTCAAGGCAAGAAGATTAACTACTTGCAACATACTCAGTTTTAGATTCAAGATGTCAAAGTATCTTTCATGTAGTCCATTTTAACTTTCTCAAAGAACAATGATTCTTTCACTTGCCTTGTTGAAAAGTTGTATAATGGTTAATAGGATATATACAAAAGATTTTAGGTGAACTAGTTCAACAAAACTGACAAAATCAATAACAGTATGGGGCTTTTCTTTTTCTTTTTATTGGAGGAGGTGTTTGCTTTTAAAGGAAATTAATACTCTCCAGTTTGAGACATGTTGTCCAGTCCATTCTCCACTGAACACAAGATAAGCCATGTAAAGAATAACATTTTATTTTTGGCTATGTTTCAAACTTGTAAAACCAGGCAACGTGTTAATTTTTTTTGTATTACTTTATTTACATTATTTCAATAGCCAAGATTGGAACACCTTCCACCATGCATCCTGAGCCAAGCTTTAGGGATACCCCTGTGGAGTGTGGGTACTCTGAGCCCTTGCCTTAGAATAGACCCACTGAATTAAACAACTTTTTAATAACTTGGTACCAAGGAACAAAAGATCACTACACCTTAGCAAATCTCATGAAAGAGACCAAGTGAACTGCCCTGGTACCTAGAACAGAGTCAAGGTGCAAACACTGATTTCTTAGCCCCCTACCGTGTCAAAGCTCTGCTATAGTTTCCCCAAGCAGGCAAATTAAGCTCTAATTGCCTGACTCCAAAATACCCATCACACAACTGTCTACTACCAAAACAAACGGCAGATCCTACAAATACACTTTCCTCCAAAAAATTCAAAGCAATTACTTGTAAACTTGTTTAAAAGTAATGTACCTTCCATTTCAAGAAAACAACTATTAACATTCTGAAGACCTTGAATCCCCTGCCCAATCGGACACTTAATGGGTAGGAAGCCCCAAACTGGAGGTTTTCTGAGAGCAGGAATAACTCTTGAGATGATGGGGGCCAGGGCGGGGAGGTGGGGAGAGAAGACCCAAGTACAGCAACGGGGGTGGAGGGGTGGGAGAGGGGAGAGGGTGTTGGGTGGAACGCTGAATGAATGGGCAATGGGGAGTTCTAGCAATGGCAGGTGCATTACAGACAGAGTGAGGGGAGGCTGGGGACCGGGGTGAGGGAAAGGGAGGGAACTGGGCCCCATCAAGTTGCTGGGGGAGCTAGGTGTACGGAGGTGCAAGGGCAACACCGGGCCAGCCTCCGGTGTCACCTGAGCAGCAGGTCGCTCGGCCCCTGTTCTCTCCCGTTATTGCCACTCGCCACTCAGGGGGTGGGATTCCAAGCAACCCGGGGGAACTGCGTCAGGGCACGGAGCAGCTCCGGGGCCTGGGAAGGCCGCAGGATTCCCCCACCCCCAGCGGCCGGGCCGGATCCCCTCCCCGCCATCCGTCCAGCGTCTCACCCGCTGCCAGACGCAGACCGCGGAGGCTCCCCATGGCCGCCTACTCCGCCGACCAGCACAGAACCTCGCAGGGCCGCGGGGGCGCTGGTGCGCTCAATGTCACCGAG